TTCCTGCGTTCACTGTTCAAGGGTCGGAGGTGTGTATTTGTTTGCAAGTGCCCCTTGTTTTCTACATAAATATGGGTAGCCAACTCATTGTCGGCATCACTTTTTGGTGGGAAATGCATAGTAGCTAACAGATTCATTTCAATGCATCAGACGAGAGTAAAGCACACTCAACTGGTATAACCTTGCCCATCAATCGGGAGGAAGTAATGAGAAGACGTGAATCTGCGTCTAAACTGGTGAATAGTGTCAGTAAGAAAATCATGCACACCTTCGGTGTGAAGGACGATGATTCGCATCAAAAAAGGCCTTCTTCTACACATATCGTGGCACCGGATGATCCTAGGCGAAATTTGAGGTGGGTTTGTTAGAAATCAATGTAGTTATGCATCGTGCAATAACGCGAAGAAAAATAACTCGGGGTGGCGTCGTAATTTTATATTTGAGCTTCGTTTGTAGTATAAAATACATGTGTGTGCCACCACTTAATTGCACAGCTTTCTGCTACACTTGCCGTCATCATCGCCTAGTTTGGTATGCGCAAATGTTTGTATTGTGATTGATTGTATATTCGTGAACATCTACTTTCAATTCCTCACTACGAATTGCAAGTATGCCTATGGGTGAAAACGTGATTTTGTTCGTCTTTAGAGGTGGGTCCACTTGCTGACGTATGTATGTTTCTGGAGTGCGTGCATCGTCAATCGGACCGCTTAGTCGCACAAGTGTGCCCTTTGACGGATGTGTCTTTGAGGGGGGGGGGTATAAGTGTCTTTGTTGAGTTTCGTCGATGTAGCATTTTGTGCTAGTACCCGAAGTATATGTCATCTGTGCAGCTCGGCAATGCCCATGGGACTCTACCGCTGTCAATCTTGTAGTAGAGTTGATTTATCAAATACATTTATCCTTACACACCGCAACCACAGCACTTTCGATGCCCTCCATAACTTTCGAGATCTCGGTGGACTGGTTACTGAGGAAGGGTATGTGGTGAAAAGGGGACTTTTGTACCGAATGGCAAGGCCTGATCACATGAGCGAAGCCGACATAAAAAAAATTACTGATCACTACAACATAAAGGTATGTGATGAAATTGACCGATTACCTAGGTTGTGCTCCTGTTCATCGTGCGTGAGCGCTACAACAGCGAAGCCGCCTAGCCAATGTGTCATGGAGCTCACATATAGTGTGCGAATGCAAGCTTTGGTGGAACATGTACGGAGCGTTTGGACAAGCAACTTATAGTCAAATCATTGCGATTGATTTGCATGTTCGGACGAATACACTCGTTACTGTACCCGATCTTATACTCCTGGCGTCATTTGCAGTTTGAGTTGCAGTAACCAATACGCTTCGCCGAAATGTTTACTACTAGATCCTATCAAATGTTTCGTACATAATGTGTATTCTTGGCTACGTCAAAACAACGATTTATTGCTTCATGTTGATCATTGACTTCTCGGTCCTACTCCCACAGACTATCATTGACCTAAGGAGGCAAGTAGAAATTGATCGATCGAAAGCTGACAACTTAGTTGTCGCCAAGTTCACCGAGAGCATCAAGCACGCGCAAAGGATAAGGATATCGGGGTTTTTACAAACTGAAGAATATGAAATCAAGCTGAGGAGGTTTCATGTGAATCTGTTAGGCTCTTACTATTTGGCCAATAAGATCTACAATGTGAGTAGTTTGATGTTATTTCTGACGTGGTCCGTTGTCAGCAGTGTCTATTTGGCTCGTGCGTAAGTAGTGTTTCTGTGTCGGCGTGGGAGAAGGCTAACGACTCGGTTCAGGGTGAAAGTATCGGGTAATATGACAATTTTTCGCGGACGTCGTCACTGTATCATATCACCATGATGTACACTCTTGACCGATAGCTTCGCTCGAAAGGAATCCTCTCACACTTCTTCTCGATCATGTGTACACAGTTTAGGCTATGAGTGCTAGGTGAAAAATGCACAGGGCAGTACAGTGGAGGTGTACTCAACATCTTGTACATCGTTGTTAGTTCCACATGGTGTAGTACGTAAAATAAAAAAACGGTCAGTACAATTAACGCTACGTAATATCGGCCTGTCGTGGAGCAGTAGCTCAACCTTTGTCGGTCAGTACAATTAACGCTACATAATATCGGCCTGTCGTGGAGCAGTAGCTCAACCTTTATCGGTCAGTACAATTAGCGCTACGTAATATCGGCCTGTCGTGGAGCAGTAGCTCAACCTTTGTCGGTCAGTACAATTAACGCTACGTAATATCGGCCTGTCGTGGAGCAGTAGCTCAACTGCCATACGATGTCGAGTCTGATCGTATTGTCGAAAATTGTTGCCTCCTTGTATGGTCCGTCCAGGTTTCGTCCAAGCGAGAAATGATTCACCATGGACTGCGTGACATGTTCGGTAAGGGCCCTGGGCGAACAGCAGAAAGGTTTGTGTCGTCCACTCTGATGGCAGAGATTGGGATAGTGGGCAATTACAATGACATGCTGGCGAGGTGCACCTCACAGATCGGCGTCGTATTGAAGGTACGGGTTTCGCACCATGTTAGTGGTATCCAGTGATTAGACGATACCATCATTTGCGTACAATCCCCATCATTAGCCTCCAGCCGGAAGGCCCAAATTTATTCAAGCAACTTGGTTCTAAGTATGAGATTCTCCTTCCCAATTTTATGCAGATTATCGCGACGGAGGGTAACAAATCAGTAGTATTTCACTGCTCACATGGCAAGGATAGGACAGGTATGTGTGACCTCTGTGTGAAGTGGTATGTTTTTCGTGCGTATGACATCATAATTGCTGTGCCAAATACCCCCATTGCTTTGTATGCCTAAAGAAATCAAATTGCAAGTGGTCTCTGACTTCTCCCTGTTCGCAGTGGTGTTCATAGAATTGGAGTTAAAGCTTTCTTCCTTCCATTTTACTTTTAATTGAATGATATTCACGATAATATGGGATCCTCGGCTTAGCGATTTGAATACGGAGAGTTTACCAAACAGTCAGCATGTCCCCTCACACAGCTGCGACTACTACATAATCACACGCAAGGCTCTAAGACAATACTTTCCTGGCTTTTCCTTGATCATTCGGGTTCGGCCTATTTTAGGGCTCATTGCCATGTTGGTGCTTGCCGTCCTTGGTGTATCTGATGCCGACATCGCCAAAGACTATGCAATGAGCACATTAGGACTAGAGGGCATGCAAGATGTAGTGCAAACGGTAAGCGTGTGTAAAGAGAGTGATTCTTAGCTTGTATTCATCAATTCGGATTTCTGAAGACACAAAAATGTGGGTATGAAGAACGATCACACAGACTGGTATGAATTTTCTGGACTGGCTTATATCACGTATATTAAATGCAGCATTCGCAAGCAATATCTGTCCTGTTGTATCTAGACGCGATTTTATGGCACGGACGATTTCTACTTTGTTGTACTCGTCAATGACATAGCCATCATTCACATATTGTGTTGTCCGTCCTTGTAGATGTGCTCGTAAAAGACAACATTTATCCCCTTGTTTGTACGGTTCCAACAACCATCATTATATTTTTTGCTACCAGGAGATCTGTAGCGAATCCGGGCTGCCAGAGGAATTTTCAGGTGCAGCCGAGGCGAACATGCTGGCCACCATGACTCATCTCCGCACAAATTATAAGAGTGTATCGCATTACTTGGAGAAGTGTAGCTTTGGAAACGCTTGGCAGATTAAATTACGAGCTTTATACCTTGACAAGGGTACACAAGGTACCGTATGTTTTTTGTCTTGTGAAACCGAAAGCTTGAGTTTTCCATGTACCTCATGGTGGTCAGGGCTAGTATAAGTGTTCGAAATACTCGAAATTTTTCTTCTGAAACATTGTTTGTAGAGCAACATGCTCCACGAAATATTCTCATTTTTGTCCGCTCTTCCGAACCCAAATCGACTCAACATCACAGACGGCATCAAAGCTGCATCCCTGACTGATCTAGATCACACCGAAGTGCAAAAGGGTGCGGCAATGGGGATAGCAACACATGAATCAGTTTCACGTATGATGTGTGCTCCATGTTATGTTTAAAGCGCGTTTGTGTGTTTGTTCTCGATCGCATTGACTACATATGTGACAATAATTTAGATGTGTGAATATCTGTTGGTGTAACACTAGTACAAACTTAAGGGCGAATACGTATATTTAAGGGCGTATGAGTTTACTTGAGAAGACTTACTTCCGAGAGAATTTGAGTACATGCATTGTAATTTGCACATTCTGAATATTAAGTATCGCGCATGTGCGACTTTAGGTTCTGAAGTCGGTTGTTCTGTCATATGCGAGCCAAAAAAGTCTCTGTGCACATTTCATGCATGTGTTTTGTATATAGTGGTTACTGTAAGTATGCCCAAGTTCTTTGATATCTATTTTGTCGCCTGTTCGTTGTGATTTGGTTTGCAACCACATAAACTATTATACAAAACTCGGGACTCGGGTTGTATATCCATTCTTTATCTTCAATCGATTTGTTGAAGTTCTCGTTGCATTTTTATTTCGTTACTACTTGCGTTGACTACGAGTATGTAGAGGCCGCGATATATATCACTCTGTTTTTGAATTACTAATTATATCTTCGGATCTTGGCAGACGGTATCGTGCCCAGCACAAAAGCGCTCAGTATCACCGGTGTTGGGCGGAATGCTGTTGACTCCGATGGACCAATATCCTGAAACTATTAAAATTGATATGAGTATTTTGTAATGGTTTTAATACTTTGTGAAATGTTATTTTCGTTTTTGACATGTCAGACAATCATTGTTTCCTTGACTAGCATTGGCTTTATAGTTTGATGGAAATTGTAGCTGCGTATGTGACTGGATCCGAGATATGTCATCGGTATAGAAATGACCCAGTATTGTGCGCCAAGTCCATGGATGTATGGTTACCTTATAAATTATCAGGCTGAACTGTGTCATCGTTATGTGTCGCTGTTGACTGCCGATACTATTTATGGAAGTATAGACCTGCGCAGCAATTTTACGAACTGCAGTCGGTTTCTTCACAGTTATATGGATGAGCAATAGTATGTTATTTTATGTTCTTCTGCCGAAACGGAGCAACATACTCTGCCCTGGTTGGCCTTAAAAACTAGCAGATACGGTCGGCAGGCTGGAATTCAGTCCATCATGTTTGGCAAATTATGGGTTTGTTTCATCATGATTGACAACTTTTTGAATTATCTCATGATGTTTATTCTTGATTTATCTGTATGACTCGCTTGGACTTTCATATGCTATACGACCGTTTGTGTCTCCACCATGAGATGGTATTGAACCATCAATACACTATTTCACCTGCACGTCGCAAGTTTAGAACTGCTGTTGGCACTCGTTGCGGAGGAGGAGTACATAGCTGAGACCCAATTTAAGATATATAGCGGCCAAAATTTACAACCATGTCAATAGGTGCTTGAGTCGATGGATAAAGCAGCTTCATTGCGAATTCGTTTGTAGCCCGATCTCATATGTCTATAACTCACAGCACACACAATCTTCTTGTCCTACGGTATGCGGTTTTTAAACATGACATGATATGATGAATGCTAATCAGTTACTTTGGTGTGAAACTTCAGTATGCTTTGAATCGGACGTGCGCAGATGCATATCGAGACAATAACCGACTTGAAACCCAATACGCAATTAAAACAACAATAAATATGATTTGATACAGTACGTAAAAAAGTAAAGAATACATAGCATTGCAGGAGGTACGGAACGCTCCATTTATAATTTAGAGGAATGCAGTTGGTATCAGTATTCACATAAGACAAGTGTACGATGTACTTCTATACACGCATAT